TTGATTTAATTAGTATTAGAGCTTTGGAAAGTGGTTTATTGATTTTTTTTTATGTAAATAATAAATCTATCGAATTGCTTAGATTAGATTTTGGTATTATAAGATGTGTATTAATATAGCTTTTAAGTCTTAAAAAATTAAACACCTCTCTAGGAGGAAGATTATGTATCTCTGTTATTTTAACAAAGGTTTTAATTGATCCTTCTGTCAATAATTGGTCCAGAGTCATTATCCCTACTTTTTTCCAATTATTTAAGTTTAAATCTTCCACTTGTTTTTCTACAATGTCTAACTCTAAATAACTTGGAACTTTTTTTTCTATATTCATTACTTTTTTGATTTTTAACCAATTTTCCAGTAATTGAGTTAAAATAATGCTGGCATACTCTTTTTTCTTTGACATTTTATTTATATTCCAAATTAAACAGTCTAAGCTAGAAACTTCTCCTGCCTTCAATTCCATTTTATACCATCCCTCATCTTTATTTTCTTTCATTTGCATTCTATAAACATGTAGAATAGTAGCTGCTTTAAAGTTATTCATTATAAGTGGATAATCAAGTCCACCTTTATATATTTTCTGCACTAATATTGACTGTTTCAATCTCGGCTTCTTGCCTTTCCAGATGTATTGAGTAAAACTTCTTTGTATTAATTGAAGCCAATGGATTGGAATATGGAGAGGTAACATTTGAAACATATAATTCCACTTTGGTATAACGTATGAATTGATAACATTTATTCGCCCCCAAAAGGTAATCTCTAGGTTTCTACGATCTTTTAACCATTTATTAAGATCTAATAATAATGTTAGGAAATTTACTTCCATAATCTTATTTGTCTCTCTGGTTATTTTAATTCCTAAGTAATCCATACTTTCTTTAACCCAAATAAAATCATATTTGTTTTTAATCTCTTGTTGTATCTTTTTATTTAGGTTAACATCTAATATCAAAGATTTATTTGTATTTAACTTATAATTTGATATAAGGCTGTATCGCTCTATTTCTTGCATTATGCGTTCTAAAGAATTTTTAGGGTTTGTAAGAGTAATTAAAATGTCATCAGCATATAAGCTAATTTTTTGGTCCTCATCCATTATTTTATAACCGTGGATCTCTTTATTATTCCTAATATTCTCAGCCAATGGCTCGATAGTCAGCAAGTAAAGCAATGGTGAAAGGGGACAACCCTGTCGGGTACCATTTCTAAGTTGGAACCATGGGGCGACAATATTAGGTCCAATAGTTCGTGCAACAGGATTTACGTATAGTGCCATTATAGCTTTCTTAATCCAACCTTCCAATCCATAATGTTGTAAGACGGCTTCTAAATATTTCCAGCTGACTCTGTCGAATGCTTTTTCAGCATCAATCGACAGAGTCAGAACTGGAACATCATATCTATTTGCGTCATCCAAGATATTAATAATTTTCCTTATACTTGTATAGGAATTTCTACCATATCCTATTTGATCTTTGTGAATGATTAGTGGAAGAAGTTTTTTTATTCTGGCAGCCAAAACCGAAGCGTATAACTTAGTGTCAACATCTATTAGAGATATCGGATGATAGTTTTTGATATCAGTGGGGTTTTTGTCGTTTTTTAGAATAGGCAAGATATTAGCTTTAAGCATCTCTGCTGGTAAAAATCCTCTGTTTGCCGCTATGTTGAAAGCAGAGGTCAAATGTGGGCATATTAAATCTTTAAATGTTTTATAAAATAGGTTGCTAAACCCATCCGGGCCTGGTGTTTTAGATCTTTCTAAATCATTTATTGCTTTCATAGTCTCCTCCATAGTTATAGGTTTATTCAAGAAATCATTTTCAATAGAAGTTAATTGAGGCTTCTTTATATTATTTAAATAGTTTTTAATATCCTCATCTGTGTTAATCTGAGGAATATTATATAGATTGGCATAATATTCATTAAAACACTTTCCAATCTCTCTAGGGGTTAGTGCTATTTTTCCATTCTGTATTATTTTGTCTACCTTATTTTGTCCTTTTTGTTTTCTAAGTTTTTGGGATAGCATCTTTTCAGCTCGATTGCCTTTGGAATAATATTTAAGTTTTAATCTATCCATATTTTTAGCTATCGTATCCATTAATTTTTGCTTTATTTTTTCTTTAAGTTCTAATATTTTTTCATACATTTCAGGAGATGGAGATTGTTTATTAATATGAGTCAAATCTCTTAATTCTGAGTGTAAAAATGCCAAAGTATTATTTTTGTCAAGTTGGCTTTGTAACTTGATAATATGACCTCTTATAACAGCCTTAAAGGCACACCACAAAATAGATGAATCAATATTTTCTGAGATATTTTCTTTAAAATAATTTTTTATATTATCTCTTATATAAGTTTTTTTTAATTCACAACAAAGCAAATTATCTCTTAACCGCCAAGTATAGGCTTCTCTTTTAAATGTACTAAAAATCATTTCATAAAAAACTCCATTGTGGTCTGTCCAAACTATCTCGTCAATCTTTGTTTTTTTGGTCATATCAATAATACTTGGATCGACCCAAATCATGTCCAATCTTGAATAGGAAAAATGCGCTTTAGAAAAATGCGTATAGTCTCTCTCATTGGGATTAAAAATTCTCCAAATATCGAATAAATTATATTCATCTTTAATTTTTTTTAAGGCTTTTGCTTGTTTTGTAACCATCTGATTTAAAGTATTTCCTTTCATTAATTTTTTATCTATCTGAGGGTCCAGTACAGCATTGAAATCCCCTGCCAATATTAACTTTCCCACTTTGACTTCATCTACTTTTTCCAAAATTGTTTTTAAGTAAGCAACTGGTAAATGATTAGGAAGATATATATTACATAATGTAAAAAGTACAGAGTCAATTTTGCATATTATTATTAGATACCTGCCTTTAGTATCTTGTATTTGATGGATTACTTCAACTTTAATCTTTTCTCCAAATACCACAGCTACTCCACATTTTTTTTTTTCCTTATTGGAAGCTTGAATTATAAGTGGAAATCTTTTACCCCCCCAATTTTGTTTATCCACTTGTCTCCAGTGAGTTTCTTGTAAGAATATTAAATTCAATTGTTTTTCACTGAGGTATTTATACAATAGATTTCTTTTCGCTATAGTATTCAATCCCTGAACATTGAGTGTAAACATTTTTATCATATTATCTTCAAAAACCTCTCTGCATCCCTTTCCACTCGATAACCGATACCCTTCCCTATTGCTGCATAAACATATCTGCACAAACACACAAAACAAAATATTAAAATCGTAGGAGGAAATCCTCCTTTTTTATCACAAAGACTGTAAATTTTCATATAGAAATTCAGTCTTTACTGTGTCTTTAAATTAGACACTAAGTGGGCGTATCCAGAAAGAGGTAGTAATATTTACAAATTTGCAATCTTTCTCCAAGAGGGAGAGAAAGGAAAAAAACAAAAAAAACAAAAAAAACCTCTTTTATACTTAACTCCATTAACTTTCAATTCTTTATCTTAAGTGAGTCTATGTCTTCTTATCTTACTAATACATGTGAATAATTTACTTTTAGCCACCTCTTTAAATTAGAAACTAATTAATACTTAAACATATTTGCTTTTAACTACTTTTTTCCACATAATTAGTTAGTACCCTTAAGGTGAGAACAACTAACAATTACATCAATAAACTTGTTAATTATTCATTACACATCTGATAAAAAAAAAAAAAAATACTTTATACTTAGCTCCATTGCTCTGTGATTCTTTACTTTAAATAAATCTATTTCTGCTTAACTTACTAATACATGTGAATAATTTTCTTTTCACCACCTCGTTAAGTTCAAATCTAATTAATATTAATACTTAGACATGTTTACTTTTAAGTCCTTATGTTCCACATGCTTATGTGCATATACCTAATTAATTAGTACCCTTAAAGTGAAAACAGTCACCAATAACATCAACAGATTAGCAAATTGTGCAATGCACAATTAAGTAATTCTATATGAGTGAAGACAACAGATAAATAAATAAAAAAAATAAATAAATAAAAAAAAGGAATTTCTTCCATTATTTTATACTTAGCTCCATTACTCTGTGATTCTTTACTTTAAATAAATCTATTTCTGCTTAACTTACTAATACATGTGAATAATTTTCTTTTAACCACCTCGTTAAGTTCAAATCTAATTAATATTAATATTAATACTTAGACATGTTTGCTTTTAAGTCCTTATGTTCCACATGCTTATGTGCATATACCTAATTAATTAGTACCCTTAAAGTGAAAACAGTCACCAATGACATCAACAGATTAGCAAATTGTGCAATGCACAGTTAAGTAATTCTATATGAGTGAAAACAACAGATAAAAAAAAAAAAAATTCCTGCTATGCTGTGCAATGTCTGTATCACACCTCACAAAATGGCCGTAGAACTGTTTCTATGCAATTAATGGCTTCTGTAAAAGAACATGACGGTTTCTCATGTGCTTAAGGGGTTAAAAATGTCTGGACTAAAATAAATTATGAGGCATGACCGTTTCCATTGGCAAACTTATAAAAACTCATCCGACTCCGTTAATTCATTTTGTATTTCTCCAGGTACCAATCACTTAAATATCTCCATAACCATGCTGTGGAAAATAATTATGTTTTTTAAATAAATGTAATGATAATAATAATTAATTATAGTTTATCCAAATTTATTCTATTGTCGATGACTCTAAAACAATATTATTCTCCTTCTTGTGTATATATATCTATATTTTACTGGTTATGGAACCAGACACATTGACAGTTTTAAGCTTCCAGTTATGTATGGTCCTGTGTACAGTATATCCTGGAATATAATTAATCACTAAACAGGAGTCAAATAATTTTGCAAAATAAATATTTAGTTAAATTAGCTTTTCCACAAAATGTTGCCATTAAATTACTTGTTGCTATGCAAATTATGCTTGAGTTTTGAAATGTACTGAAACTTTTGTGAAATAAATAATGATAAAGATTACAATGAGACAGGACAATTATTCAAGGTTAATGATCATTTTATTTGCATTTACCACTAAATGTTACATTTTGATGGGGAAGACAAGGTGTGAGTTCTTCAGTCTTTTAAATTTAATTTTCAATTGATCTTTGGTAGTTTTTCTTTCTGAAATAAAAATAGAGCAGCATTATTGTTATTAAGTGTAGTAGTATCCATAATAGGCAATTACATTTATCGACTAGTAACCAAAAATTTGGATTTTTGGTTTTGGTGTGGTATGAGCCCACTTGACTCTTGGGGGCTTGTTCATTGTTTAATGACACATGGAAGATACTAAGGGGTCAAATTAAAACATCTTAAAATATTAACTTTCTTCAAATACAGAACTTGATTTTTTTTATAGAACCTTTTCAAATGATGTTTTGATAACTGTTTAAAAAGATTGTTTCATGATATTAAAACGATCAAAACATATATACAATATATAATAAATATATCAATATATACAAATATCAATATGAACATATTTTTCTAAATTTTAAATCATTTGAAATGTGTATCCAAAAACATTAAATCATTTGAAGAGTTTCTACAAAAATTAATAAATCGTTGCCATAGCTGTTATACTCTGCAAAATCAGATACAAATTGTTTCGTTTTTATAACTTTATATTGCTTTTCTGGCTTGGAAGTGATAAAAAATATTTTTTTAGATAGACTCATAATTTACCAGTTTCTTGGCTTGTTTCCTGGTGGTGGACCATTGGGTGGACCATTGGGTGGACCATTGGGTGGACCATTGTTCTTGTTAGGTTGCACTCCTCCAGGTGGGATACCACCATTAGATGGTGGGGGTCTTTGAGGTCGTTGTCCTTGTCCATCTCTGATAGGGTTCTCACCTCCCTTACCCTGCAGGATATTAGTACATTAAACACTATTGTAAAATATTCATAATTACAGTGTTATAAAGTACTTTTTGGTTAATTTTATTTATGTTCATTTCGTCATTCAGCCCCTAGCCCTAAACACGCTATAAATGTAACCCTAAACCCTCCTAACCCTCCTAATAGTCATATTAAACCTACAGTGTGGGGTGCAATGTTACACCCCATGCCATTAAACCATCAGGTAGAGCAGTGTACCCAGCACTGTAATGGATCTTGGCATTATAAACATCACTATAGTGACACCATATTCTTTTCAACACGCTGACATTACATCATTGCTCTAATGAACAATAACACAACATTTTTATGTTAACATTTTAAAATAAGTCTGGTCCACAGTAGAGATCCATATGGGTTTACACTGGTTCATCCTGACACAATGTTTCTTTCGATATGAAATGTTGCCGTATCCTAATGCAAGCCTTTTCAATATGTAATGTTCCGTATCCAAGAATCTTGGGTGCTAGGAGCAATCATTTGGATCTGATTCTAATTGGTGGTTTGTACAATAAACCAATATAGTAACATTTTAGCCTTTTTATTTTTCTGTTGCCATAGCCAAATTGGTTGTGTGCCTCTTGATAGTTTTTTTAAATTTTTTTAAACCATGGACACCCATTAATTATTAGTGGGGCATGCATTTTTCTTTTACAGTTTTTAGTGACATTTTTTTCATTAAATGAGCCAGACTGTGAATAATGAAGGTGAAAATACGAAATGAAGTAATAAATATTGTTTATGCTGTATTTATCACTTTGATGATAATCAGGCCATTACTTCATTAGTAGATACTAATTAAAAATGCTTACAATTAAAATATCCCTGGTTCAATATTACCAACTGCATTTAGTATATCATATCTCTGTTTCAAAAGTAATTAATTTAATGTTATTTTAAACTGCTATGTGGCAGATCTCTTGTGTGGTACCCCCAATCAATGGGCCCCACGGAATCAGTGAGATTGAGTACAGAGAAACAGGAATGCAAAGAACAGAATTTAAATAAAATTGAAATAAAATTACAGCAGTTCCTGACGTTAACAGGGGACTGTATGATTGTTGCTCTCTGTAGGAAAGTAATTGTATGTTGGTGAGTCACCTGTTTCTCTGGTTTAAAATAAACAGAAAATGTTATTTTTGAAAAAAAAATGCATTATAGAGATTTTACAATGCTGATTATATTGATCTGCTATTGATTCTACCTTGTCTTTAAAAATGCTGAAAGATTAAATAGATATACTTTCCACAATTCAAGGATTTAATGCACTAAGATGGATGTAGGACATAACTGTATACATTGTTGCTAGTGCTCCTTAATGACTTAAATCAAATAATTAAAAATTATTTTGAACACAGGCTGAAAATGAAATCTACATGCCTGACTCATTTCTATGCAGTACCTTCCCCTGTGTATCAGTGTGAGGATTATATTCCCATTAGATTTCCATATACGTCTACAAGTAAGGCAATTGCTTTCTTAATTTTTCATTTTAAATAATAATGAAATTGCGGTCAGATTAAAAGTTTTATCAACTGATTTTTTTCAATCAAAAATATGCTACATTTGACTGCTTTTGCTTTGTTGGCTGAGTATAACTTTGCTGAAATCATTAAAGTAGTGTGCTGAGGAATAAAGTTACTAGCGTGGACCAACATGGAAAGGTGTGATGTTATCAAATAGGGGGTAAAAGCAAATGAGTGCCTGCCACATAACAACACTATAGAAAAGTCTGGGGTGAAAACTTTCTGGCATATAAAGAGATGGGCATGATCACTGTGCAGTAAAAATCAGAGGTTTATTCTACGGGTATGTATCCCCAAAGTGTAGTGCATTGTAACAGTCAGCAAGATATCTCACATAGCGTAACGTGTCCATTTTATTCAAAATTTATGAAACAATTCAAGCATTGGATTTAGGTGCCTGGCTCAAACCCATTTTGCAGACATGCTGCTCTTTCCTCCTGTGCTGCATTACAGATTGTAGCTGTGTATCTAGAGGGCCAACTTAGCACAAGAACTACCTACCTGGGATATCTTGATGGACTGGAAAACAGGGATTTTAAACCAGATAGGATGTCTTGTACATGTATGCAGATATTTTTGTTTGTGCTAAGGAACATTGAAAAGTCATGTGTTAGAGATATTATACTTACCACTGGAGGATTGCTTTGTGAATTAGGGACAGGTTTGTTATCTTCAACCAATGCAGCTCTAGGACCCCTGAAAGGAGGTCTTCCATCTGGTCCTTTCCCATTCTGGCCACCTTTTGGTGGAGGTGGGTTCCCATGTTCTAAATTGAGTGGATGTGGTCCTTTACCAGGTGGAGGTGGGTTCCCATGTCCTAAATCGAGTGGGTGCTGTCCTTTACCAAATGGAGGTGGGTTCCCATGTTCTAAATTGAGTGGATGTGGTCCTTTACCAGGTGGAGGTGGGTTCCCATGTCCTAAATTGAGCGGGTGCTGTCCTTTACCAGGTGGAGGTGGGTTCCCATGCCCTAGACTGGGTGGTTGCTTTCCTTCACCAGATTGAGGTGGGTTTCCATTTCCTAGATTGAGTGGGGGTGGTCCTTCACCAGATAGAGGTGGGTTCCCATTTTCTTGAATGAGTGGGGGGTCTCCTGTGACATCAGAGGAAGGTTGTTGGGGATTTCCATCTGGAAATTTAAAATGTTTTAAAATACATACAGAAAAAATGTTGTCTGATTGTATTAGATGTTGTAACTATTACTATTTAGGCTAACGGCTCCCGCAGTGTATACACTCTGACTGTTACCTAGCAAGTGACTAATGTTTCCGTATTAAGTATATAAATTGGTGGTTCTTTGTTATTTATGTATATAATACATTATACCTGCTGGTTTACTGCAACAAATTAAAAAAAATAGAATTAGAAAACATATGTTTGCTGCACTCTAATAACGCTTGTGTGTCGAACACAAAAAGGTGCAAAGGAAAAGCTGTGTAGTCTTCTGCCAAGGAGGCTAAATATAACTACAAAAATTTTTCAATAGAAATAGAATTTTGTGCCATGTGTGAGCCTTCACCCAGCACATTTACCAAATTGACCATTAATTGTTCTGGATATAGTTACCATACTTGCCTAGTAACTGGGCGAAGCTCTGGACCACCAAGGCAAACAGAATGACGAACTTCATTCTTACTCTTTCCCTTTGCCGATCCAAAGATCAGAAAAAAATAGGATCTTGCCTGCTCGGATAAGGCATTTGCAAGGGATATTTAAACATCTTCAGAGGGCACTCCCCCTGTAACCAAAATCGTATGATGATCAATACCAGGTGTGTGGGGGGTGCGGGGGGGGGGTGGGGGTGTACCATGAGATTGCAAAAACTTTTTATGCATCACAATAAAAGTAAAAGAGATATGAATAATGGCACATATAAAGCTTTGTGAAGGCCACACAATGCATACAATATCTCCATTTAATAAATCCATATATCAGATGATCAAATAGCACATTCTTTAGGACACAGCCAACAATATATCTAAACAAATAGACCCTTAAAAATAAGCAGTTCACTTAAAGTAACAGTGCTACCTTAAATTATATCTATAGACCAATACAGTTCCAGAACAATCGATTCTTAAAAACATCTCTTTCTAGATAGATAGATAATTGCACATTTACCTTGGAAGTTATGGGATTATAGAAATAAAGTAGCAAGGTAATTTTAAGCATATCGCTAATTTTAAGGTTTGTTTTTGTGTATTTATTATGAGCGTAAAAGAGAACACATAGAAAATTTGTGGGCATTTAAAAATAATTAAATGGGACATAGTTTTGTAATAAAATGTTTGTATTTGGTGTAAGCACCTTTTTGACACTGCTTTTTTTTATATTAAGATTTTTACTCTACATATTTTAATTAGCCACATTCAAAACATGGAATACATTATTTTTTTATAATAGACATTAATATTTTTGCAAAATTTCCCTTTGTCTGTTAATTTAAATTGAGAAATAGACATAAAAATCAGTTATGCAAATGTAATGTAATGCTGTCCATTTAAATAGAAATAATATATTTATAGATTATCTTGAATACTTTAAGGATTTTTCATGCAATATACTTTTGTAAATGATACACATTTTACATAAAATGTTATGACCATAGGCACTGGACATTCTTTGGCTTGATTAAAACATATTAGAGCACATTAAATACTAATTAGACTTATGCATGGTAAGAATATTTGACTCAGCTGACCATTTAAAAAAATATATAATAAGAACATTTCTTCGGGACTCCCACATTTCAGCCGAATGTCAGTTTGGCTCTGCAGGAGTATGGAACCAGGATTCTGATTTGGAACCTTAATCAGAAGAACAAAAAAAGGTTTGAAAATGGGCCAATGAGTGTGCTGAATACAGAATATATTAATAAGTAAATAATATGAAGTATGCTTATAGGAACATTTTCCTGCCTGATAAAGAAGGAAAAAATAACCAAAAGAGCAAACAAAAGAGGAGAATCAAAAATTAGTAATAGTTATATTTTATATATTATATATTCATTAAATTTGTAAATATAGATTTTACTTTCACTGCTTCTACGTTTTCCTCTCTGTTGCTCACATCTCACTTGATCTGTGAATAAAATGAACAATTAGTGACCCGAGTCATCAATCATCTTTATTACCCATCAATCATTTAATGCCACGGATGGAATTTAGAATCACAGCCCCCAACCCGAACATATTCGGCATGGCACGATTCAGCTGGTCAGTGATTTGAGGACATTCCACAGACTATGTAGTACAGAACACAAGTTCCTCCCATTAAATCACCATATATCTTACGCTATAGTACGTAGTACATCTGGGCATGATAGCCCACTACCTGTCCAAAGTTAAGCAAAAAGAGACATAAAATATTTATGACAATAAAGTGTGTGTGGAGGCTTAGAACACAAATCCCCCTCTGTACTATGCATAGTGTTCCCGCAAAACACACTGTCCTCAACAAAAACCTCAATATACACAACACACACAGCTCCCCCACACACATAACACATACAAACAACATATGCAAAGCCTCTCCATATAAACAAAACTAGAAGCATTCACCACACACATACACACACACACACACCTTTATTATACTCATCACGCACAGCCTCCACATACACAACAAGTAATATCATGATATCATGGTACAATTAATAACAAAAGCTGGATAATGAGGACAAATGCTCTAGTTTTACAGCAGCTTATTAGAATACATATGTATTTATCTATTATTATTTCTTAAAAATATTTTTGGTTTAGTGCTATAGCTTCATTATAATCTTTTCTGTTCTATTTAACTCTTAAAATAGTAATTGTTTGCCTCTTTCAGCTGAAGTGGTAGAGGTTAACACAGTGAAGGAGTTTAAGCATGCGTGGGATAGGCATAAGGCTATCCTAACCATAAGATAAGGCCAGAGACTAATGAAAGTATTTAGAATATTAAGCAGACTAGATGGGCCGAATGGTTCTTATCTGCCCTCACATTCTATGTTTCTATGTAAAATGGTATGCAAGGGCATAGAGTCCCTTGGTGTATTCTAGCGCTGTATGCGAGGGCATAATATAAATGAGAATTAAATGGGGTAGATGAGAATTTTTAAAAGGTAATTGATTCATTAGAAGACGGAAACGTAATGGAATTAATGGAATTTTGGACACCTGGCAGAACATCTAGAATAAAAGGTAAAGTTAAGTAATAAAACAATAATTAGTGCGGAAATCTCAGGGACAATATTGAATGCAGTTATCGCAATTATCAGAATAAAATAATATTTCATTTAATAATATCAAATTAAACCTGTTATGAGTCAGCTGCAACCCTTCTTAGACAGTGCAAATATAATTTATAATTAGTGATGTCCCAAACGGTTCGCCGAACGGTTCGTGAACGGGTCGCCACGAATGGTTCGCCGCGGACTCATCATTGAGTAAACTTTGACCCTGTACCACACAGTCAGCAGACACATTCCAGCCAATCAGCAGCAGACCCTCCCACCTCCTGGACAGCTAACTAAGAATGCAGCTTCACAATGAATGTAAAATGGATGCTGTCCAGGAGGTGGGATGGTCTGGGAGGGAGGGTCTGCTGCTGATTGGCTGGAATGTGTCTGCTGACTGTGAGGTACAGGGTGAAAATTTACTCAATGATGAGTCCGTGGCGAACCGTTCGTGGCGAACTGTTTGCGAACCGTTCGGGACATCACTATTTATAATACATATAAATTGCATTTTTTTGTCTATAAAATCTTTATTGAAAGATTTTTGTTTTTTATACATTTATATTTTGTACATACAATAAGGTATCACATTTTAAATATATAATTTTTTACAGATCATATAGTGATGCAAATTTTATAAATTTTTAGACACATAAAAACAAAAAAAATGAAGAAACTATAAAAAATAGCAGTAACAATATAGTACAAAAAAAAAACCTAAATACATCTAAACATCTCATTCCTACATTTTCTCGTGGGGCCTTTGAGAGGGAGGAGCGTTGTAAAGATCCCAGTCGTTATAGGAAAGACAGACTGGTAACATCTAAGGATCTATTTAAGAAATTCAACAGTTTGTGTCAGAGTTCAGAGGTCTATGTAATTCTTCCAAGGTAACCACCCGCTCTCAATTTTTATACCTGTATCTCTAATTGTATAGACGTTGAGTTCCATCCTATATTAATAGGAGATTTGATTGCATATAGATGGCCAACTTAGCTCAGGAGATTTCCAATTACGGGCTATTACAATTCTGGTTACTAACAGAATATGAGTTGTTAAATATGCTTTGCTTTTATTACAGGATGGAGAATCAACATTCCATAAAAATATATATGGAGTGCGCTTATCAATAATAAATAGTTTCTGTAAACAGGATATAATTTGAGATTTAATATCCAATCTAATGCAGTTCCACCAGATATGTGACAAATGCCTTATATCTAAGTAGCACCTCCAAGTTATATCTAGAGATAGTTTTGAGTCTCATGGGAACTAAGTACCATCTGTATATGCTTGTAATGCATTTCCAACATAGAGATACAGTGAATGCTCCAAGCTACTCGTCTAATCCCTGTCAACCATTCATTCATAGAGAATTGTGTATGCAGTTCGAGTTTCCATTTGCATATTAGGGAGGATGTATTCCTTTCAGGACCAATAATTTGATGATTAGTGTTAAAAGTCTTCAATATTTTAGATAGAGGGTTTTGTTTGGGAAAAATAAATTCAAAATAAATCATCCACCCAAAGATATTATATACATTCTTTGCACATCAAATAATTCTCAACTTAATGGTAAAGAAAAATGTCTTTATTTGAGAGTTCCAACTTTTGTTGAAGTTGATGAAAGGGCATTGTCATGCCAAAAGCATGAGTTGGTGTTTGATGTATTGATATATGTTAAGAGTTGTTTTTTGTAAACCTTGGGATGACATTTATTGTGGTCTTTGATCTGGCACCAGGCCTAGACCATAAAACATCTAGATAGCCATCACCAGAGCTGGACACAAGGAATTGCATAGAGTGGGCAATAAACTGCCAGACCCCCCCTCTGATCCCCCCCAGGGGTCTGCCCACTGAGCAACAACTAGTTTAGATATATTAATGAGGGTGCTGGACTATCCAGGGAGTTATTCATTTTTCTTTGGTCAGCAACTTCTAGGAGACCTATACCATCTAAGACTCCCACAAGAATTCTATATGGGGTAACTATATGTAAGGAATTTCTTGTGTTTTCTCCTATTTTATTTTATGTACTGTTTTGCAATTTGTTATCTGTATGTCATTTATTTCTGTATTTTGTACTCAGCACTGTGAATCTTTTTGTCAGATTAAATGTTTACTTAATCAGCTTGTGTCTCTGTTCTCTATGAGCTTCACTCTCCAGAGGAAAGCTCAGGTAAACACGTTACCAAAAAGGGTTAACTATATGTGTTTTATCAGTAAAAGTAGAACTGTGATTCTATAATTCTCCTGTGTGTGGGGTAACCTAAGACGCCCGGGTTTAAAAGTCTTGGTGGTGGCAGTAAAGTGTGTACTAGGGGGTTAGTGTAGAAGGGATTGCAGGGGTTAATTGAGTGGTTGCTGGGACTAGCAACAGGTAACCAGGGGTCTGTTGTCATCAACCCTGTCACTTCTACACTCTCCCCACTGTCTCGGCTGTGCCTATAGTCCACGCTTGTGACAGGCATAATTTTTCCATTATGTAGGATATCTGTA